TAAAGGGAATATAAAATTCTCAATTAAATTGTATAAAACTTACTCAAAAGGCAATATTCAAACCAGCAAATGAGTAGATAAATAAATTTATGTACTCAGAGGTAAAATATACTCAGTTCTCTTCCACACAGTTGCTCCGATGGTAGGAAGATCCCATGCTATTGGACATAAGAACACAATGCTACCGGAACATGGAAGTCTGTTTGCTCTTATGTGACATTTCCTAGAACAGAGTCCTGGGTCTCAGGTAACAGCGAGCCACCAAAGAGCAGAGTTTGTGGCATGACGCCCACTGGTTGCAGTCTTCTGCTGACTCATTTTTATCATAAACTTTGGTGCATCTGGATTTGTTCTTCTTTAATCTCCCTGCATTTCGCCCTCAACTCTATAATTTAACAACAGTCTTCTTCATATCTCTTTCTAATGACTACCCTTGACTTTAGAAAAAAAAAAAAAAAAAAAAGAGGGGCTAGAAAGATGGCTCAGCTGTTAAAATCACTGGCTGCTCTTTTGCAGAGGATCTAAGTTTGAATCCCAACATCCACATGGCAGCTAACAACCATCTGTAGCTCCAGTTCCAGGGCATCTGACACCGTCTTCTGACCTCTGTGGGCATTGTACAACATGGGAGCACTTACATATATTCAGATAATACATTCATATGCATAAGATGAAAAATAAAATATTTTTAAAAGAAAGAAAATCCTATACTCAATAAGGTATTTATTTACAATTCAAGATTATTTCTTTAACTGGGTTAACATATTTATCAGACTCACTGGTGGGAGAAATACCTGAGAAAGACAACTAAAAGAAGAAAGGTTTATTATGGCTCATGATCTCAGAGTGTTAAGAGAACAAAAAAGTCCCATAAGATGAACTGGTCAAGAGAATAACAATCTCTGGTATTGTGGTCTGGATAAAGACCCAACTTTCCATTTAGCTGGTTAATCACCTGGTCATGGGACCACACGAGGAAGGTGGGTTCATTTTAAGTCATGCTGAGGAGATGGTCAGAATTCCTAATATATTAATGAGATGGTGAATTTTCCTGCCCGGATCCCCACCTCCTAGTGCAGTTCTTGTGGATCATGTGTCGCAGGTAGACATGTGGCTCTCCATATGTTTTTCCTTTTCTCTCCTTTTCTTCTTTATGACACTTTTCTAACCTTGATTTCCTAAATGCTTTGGGCCGCCCCAGTGTTTTGGGCTTCTTCACCTTTTTTGCTACAACTCCCTTCTCCCTGCCATGTGTCTGTCTGACCTCCATGGTGGCTTCAAACAGGCATGGCTTTATGGATTTTTTCCTTCTCCCCTCCATTCTTCTCCTCAAGGTAGCAGCTAACATTTACAGCTTGCCTGCCCTGAGGATTTTTCCTTAAATTCTAATAAAACTGTTTTAAAGCTTCCATTAAGTCCATTCTTAAATTCTTTTATGAATGAGACTTAAGACCCTCCAGAGGATGCTATTTCTACCCTGTGTCAAGAAGTTTCAGTCCGGAGTCACCTGACCCAATGTTGTGGGCCTGATGCAGAACCCTGGCAGGTGCAACAAAGGATCTGACCCCTTGGTGAACAGAAGCAGAGAAAGACAGAGAAGTGAGCAAAGAACTAGCGTTACCCTTCATCAACTGTGCTTCAGAGAACTACTTCCTCCCAGTAGGCCCAACTCCTACAGTTGTCAAAATCTCCTAAAAAAAAACCACCACAGCTAGGGGCCAAAACTTCAACCCATGAACCTGTGGGGGACATTTCATATTCAAACCATAACAAGTAATATTTTAAAAATATTTTATTTATTATTTTTATTTTATGTGTATGCATGTATTGCATGCATGTATATAAGTACACCTGCGTTATACAATGTCCTCAGAGGACAGAAGAGGGTGTCAGATCTGGAACTGGAGCTAGAGATGGTTGTTAGCCACCATGTGGATGCTGGAATTCGAACCCAGGTCTTCTGGGAGACCAGTCAATGCTCTTAACTGCTGATCCATCTCTCCAGACCCAACAAGTAATATTTTTATGAAGATTATTTTTGTGTTCTGGTTCCTCTGTTTGCAAATCTGCACATATTGAATGTTTGGTCTGGTCCTATTTTCCCAGTGGTTCCTTTTATTTTCAGTACATAATTTTTCATAACATGAAGTTTTCTGGGAACACATATGTTACAGAATAGTAGAAATGTTTGTATCCAATACCTCCTTTATAAGATAGTGTTCTATGAGGAAAGCAAAGCTAAATGGTCTCATTTTAACTTTTCTGTCTTCTTCCACATCAGTAATCTCTGCTCTTTCTGAGTCACCACTAGCAAAGACTCTAAGTTTTGCCAAACTGTTTGTTCCTGGAATGATAAATTAAATGAAACATGACTTTGGGCACTGTGGTGTTGGAATGAGAAATGCCTCCCATAGGCTCCAAGTATTCAAAAACTTGGCTACAGTTGGTGGCACTGCCTGAGGAGGTTTAGGAGGTGAGGCTTTGCTGGAGGAAGGGGGAGGAGTTGACTGTGAGAGTTCCTCAGAGCCTCCTTCCCACTTCCAGTCTCTCTGCTTCCTGTGCTGTTTGAAGATGTGAGTGCTCAGATTTCTGCTCCCGCTGCCTCCTGCTATGCCTTACCCGCCATGATGGACTCTTCTTCCTTTGAACCATAGGCCCAATAAATCTTTCCTTCTATAAACTGCTTTGACCATGGTGTTTTATCACAGCCACAGAAAGTAACTAATACAGGCACTGCTAGATTTGAGGTCATCACCTTGAGTACCTCCTGCTTGAGAAATATTTCCTTCATAAACCCATGAAGCTCCTGTCCATGAGTATCTTTTAAAACACAGAAAAACAGAATATTGAGAACAATTAGATACATAATATGAAATGAACCAAATGTAGTTAAGTCAACTTCACTGTTAAGGTTTTTTTGTAATTTTTCTTATTTTTTGAGAATTTCATACACAAACAATATCTCTGCATTATTTGTATC